TCCTACAAGCCTCTTGTATTTGATTTTTCCATTCTATTCTTTAGATTGGGCAATTGTTTATTATTATACCATTTAAAAATTATGCATTCCTTTGGTTTGTATCTCTGCTCCTTCGTCTATCCAATAACTCTTAAATCTGGTCTTTTCATGTTATCCCATAATTCTTGGATGTTCTGTTCATGGTTTCTTACCATCTTCTCTTCATGGGCAACTCTACTTTTAAGATTATATATTTTTTCTTCATTGTCTGAGGTTCTGTCTTCCAAGTGATCTACTCTGTTGGTGATGCTTTTTATTGAATTTATAATTTGGTTTACTGATTCCTTCATTTTAAGGATTTCTGTTTTTTTTTTTAATGATCTCTAACTCTTTATCGAAATAGTCCTTCACTTCCTGTATGTTCTTTGATTTCACTCCTCATACTGCCCTTTATTTCACATATCAGTTTAACTATATGCAATCTGAACTCCTTCTTGGACATTTTTTCTACTGTGTTATCAGCAGCTTCTGTTGTTGAAGCATCTTGGTTTGTTTGGGGCTCTTTATTTCCTTGTTTTTTTCATGTTGTTAGTGTGTTTTCCCATCTAGAAGTATGGATCTAAGGCAGCATAAAATCTACCCTGTAGACTTATAGTGTCTAGGTGTCTGAAGGTTTCCAGAGCCTCACCTTTAATGGTGAGACCAATATCAATATTACTCAGCATATAATATGTAGCCTTAAACCTAATAGCTCCCACTAAGGCAACTACTGCTTTCTGGCATTAAACCAAAATGATGAATTTAATAACTATCTATAGTATAAACAGAAATTTTGTTAAAATGGTTTACAATTTCAAAGGGTGGATGAGAGAACAGAGTAGTGTAGTATGTAATATTTGTGAGGGAGGAAGAGAGAAGCTAGAAGTAAAAATTCACAAGAAGAGTGGAAGAGGAGCCAACAGAGATTGGCTGTTGATTAGAGAGAAGTTGGAAAGGATATAGCATAAAAAGCATCCTGTTCCAAATATGGTAGAGAGATTAGTGAATCAAAAAATAAAATAAATCTTGCTGGAAAGTAGAACTGTCTCTGTCAGTGTTCAACAGTTTCTCAGCTCTGACTCTGACGTCTCTCGGGATCAACAAACCCAGATCAGCCCTTGCAAACCTAGTCTCTAGCCTACAAACCTGGATTTCAAATACCTCAGGCTCTGCCATTTGTAGTCCCAAGATCTCAATGCTGCTCCTACTTGCAGAGAGACCACTAGGAATACACTCGTGCAAATGAGCAACAGCAAGAGATGCAGCAGCAATACCCAGGCCACTAGCACTCTCAGCAGGAAGACCCCAGGGTCCTCCACACCCACAGGTACCCCAACACTGGACCTGCAGGTCCTGATTGGAGTCCCCAGACAGAGGGCCTTGTGGTGGTAAACCTGCTGGCACCCAGGTCCCAGGCCCTGGCTGGTATCCCAAAATGGGTGCAGCCACATGCAACCAAACCTGGAATCTCCCCTGCAGCAGTCCTCTAGGCTGTGGTAGCAGCAGCAGTGGCGGCTGCATTGGCAGTTACAACTGCAGCTGTGGGGGCAACGTCACCAGGTGATCTCCAGGGGTCAGCAGCAGTGTGGGCTTCAGTTGCATCCACAGTTTTTTCTGTGTCAGCAGCACCCAGAAAGAACACCTCCAGGTGATCTCAGTCTAGCAGTAGGGAAATCAGAGGCAACAGCAATGGCGGTAGTGGTGCAGGTGGCGGTTGAGTAACAGGAGACTTCCGGTTCAGTGGCAGCAACCATGGAGGTAGCATCAGAATCGAATCAGGGGTAACCAGGCAGTTTCCAGAAAAGAGACCTCTGGGCACAGCATTGGCTTCTGCAGCAGCCCAGAAAGAAGACCTCCAGGTGACCTCAGGCTGGCAGCACTAGAATCAGAGGCAGCAGCATTTGACACATGGGTTTTTATTCTATCATAAAGAAGAATGAAATTATGGCATTTGCTGGTAAATGGATGGAAATGGAAAATATCATATTAAGTGAAATAACCCATATTCAGAAAGCCAAGCGTCCAATGTTTTCTCTTATGTGTGGAAGCTTCAGCAAAATAAGAGGGAAACAGGCAGAGGGAGCCCATGAAAATCAAAAGGGTAGGATAGGTAGGGGGCAGATGGGAAGGAAGCAGGAAGAGGGAAAGAGGGGACTACAAAGTGCACCTGGCCAAATCGTGCTGTGCACATATAGGAATATACCACAGTGACTTTCACTATTGTGTGTATCTATAAAGCAGGAATTAAAACAATAGGTAAATAGATGGAAGACCAGTAGAGGAGAAGAAGGGGAGAGGGGAAGGGAGGAGGGAAAGGAAAGAAGTACTGGGAATTGAAATGGAGCACATTAATTCCATGCATGTATGGTTGTGTCAAAATGAATTGCAATATTATGTATGTCATAATACACTAATAAAAATATGTAAAAAAAAAAAAAAAAAAAAGAAAAGCATTCTGGGCTGGGGTTGTTGCTCAGTGGTAGAACGCTCGCTTCACACGTGTGAGGCCCTGATTCGATCTCCAGAACCACATTAAAAATAAATAAACATAAAAAGGTATTGTGTGCAACTAAGAAATAATTTTTTTTTAAAAGTATTCTTTGTGTAAAGAACTGGAAAATAGTTTCTTATCAGATATATCTCTGTGAAACATCCTCTTACCAGAGAAAGTTCTTGCAAATGTCTTCTTTTAGGCATAGCTTATCTTTTCTTTCTCTAGATATTATGTTTCACAGAGCAGGAATTTTAATTTTAATGGGGTGTATTGTATCAATCTCTTTCTCATCAATCATACCTTTGATATAGTATCAAAAAAGTCATAGCCAAATCCAAAGTCATGTAGATTTTCTCCTTCTGTCTTGTACAATTTATCTAGTTTTACGTTTTACATTTAGATCTATGATCCATTTTAAATTAATGTTTGTGAAGGGCATAGATTCATTGTTTTATGTGGGTATGTCCAGTGTTCTAACAGCATTTGTGGAAAAGGCTATCTTTTCTCTATTGTGTTGCTGTCAATTCTTTGTCAAAGGTCAGTTGACTACATAGTTCTTGGTTGGTCTGTAGGGATTTGATACTAGTATCTTCCCAGAGACCTACATCTGTGGATGGTCAAAATCTCTTAATTAAAATTCCCTGGTATACAGCCTAAGCTCTCATATACTTTACATCATCTCTTGATTATGTTTAGTGCCTGACAAAATGTAAGTGCTATGTAATTGAAACTGGAGTTTGAAATGAAACCAGATTCTCCACTCTGCTGGTCTGTAGGTCCGCATAAGTTACATGCCTCTGTGGCTAAGAGAGCCCATTTTAGTATTGCAACTAATCACAGCAGGGAAATGCCTGTCTGGTCAGCTCCATGGGTCAGAGTGACTCTTCTTCAGTATTACTGAGCAGTGTGTTGTAGCTCTCAATGGCAGAGCTCAGCAGCTGGCTGCCATTTTTTTTTCCAGGTTCGTATTCACAAATTTGAAGACAAATCCATAGACAACAGAAGGCAAGAGTGAAGGTGTAGTATTTCTATAACTGAAAAGAAAAGAAGCAGAACTCTCAGGGGCTGAGAGGGGAACCTGAGAGTAGGTTTCCACTTAAGTGTACTAGTCTAGGGACTTAAATAGCTACTGGATGAGGCATTCATCAATATCTGTGCTAATCAGGTCTTGGAAAGATACTAAGGGTGTTGGTCAGTATCTATGCTAATCATGTCTCGAAAAAGTGCCAATACTATTGGTCAACACCTATGCTAAACAAGTATTGGAAAAGTGCCAAGGCTCTTGGTTTGGTCTATGACATTCTGATTAGTTAGGCCTTGAGTCTTTAGTCTTCACTCAGGTCGGCTCTACCTCCTTTTTCCTGCCACCTGGGACAAAGAAGTTGGCTGTAATATTTGGAATGTTTTCTATAGGTTAGTTTTGTGAAATAGCCTCTTCATTTAAAGTCTTTGTCTCTCTCTCTCTCTCTTTTTTTTTTTTTTTTTTTTGGTATGGGGGAGTGCATTTTCTTAATTGTCTTTCTGTTTTACTATCTATCCTATCTTATTCATAATTACTTTTGTACTGTATTGATTTGGACATAAGCACAAAAAATACATGTTTAATACAGATGTAATTTTTTCCTATTGTATGTTCTATCCATGGTTGTTGAATTCACAGATATAGAGGACCAACTTACATAGATCTGTATCTGTGCTCTCTACTCTGTTTCATTGATATAATTGGACATGACTTTTGGTGAAACCATGTTCAACCTGGTAAAATAAAGGTACTGTGTCCAACAATAACTAAAAGAATATTAAAAGTAAATAAAAAATATTCTGGCTGTGTCAGATCAGCTTATAATAATATTGAGGTTCCACTGTGAATTTAGGTCAATCTTCCATTTTTTTTTTTTTTTAATAATTTTTTAGACCTTTATTTTATTTATTTTTATGTGGTGCTGAGGATCAATCTCAGCACCTTGCACATGCTAGGCAGGTGCTCTACCACTGAACTACAATCCCAGCCCAGATCAATGTTTTTTCTTTGTCTTTCTGTGCTGGGAATTGAACACCTAGGGCACTTTACCAAGAGCTACATCCCCAATCCTTTAAAATTTTGTTTTTCTTTGCTGTGAAACAGGATCTTGCTAAATTGCTGAGGTTGGCCTTGACTTCATGATCCTCCAGCCTCCCAATCCCACCCTGGGATTATAGGCTTGTGTCACCATGTCTGATTCAGATCAGTTCTTCACATTAGAGGCTGCCTTTCCCCCACATCTCCGCTTTTTCTTTTATCTTCTCTATTTTTCTTCTCTTTCTTCTTTCCTCTCCCTCCTTCCTTTGCCTTTTTTTTTTCTTCAATGGATTTGACATTTTGTTTCAGTTAAACTCATCCTTCTCTATATTTAGAGTATCAGAAGACCAAAGTTTGACCCAATCTTATGGAAAGATATTTGTGATTCTTCATTGCTTTCCCTCATGATATTCCTTTCCTCATGTGCAGGGTACCCACTACTCACACCCAACCTGATCTCCCAGTGGGAACAAGAGGAGGAACTGCAGACAGTAAAGACAGAACTTATCCAGGGCATCTGTACGGAGCAGCACCAGGAAGGCAAGAATCCCTGGGAGAAACTGGCCTGGGAGGAGAAAAAAATAAAATAGAAATAAAGCAAAAGTTTGTTTTGTCTGAGGAGGCTCATTATCCACAGATGTCTCAGAGGACTATTTTGACTGTTTATCTGTCCTCTCATACTTTCCTTGTTCTTGGCAAAGATCTCCATATTTGCTTTTTTAAAGTTTGTTTTTGGTATGTGTATTTGATCCTTTCTGTTTTCCTCTCCTACTAATTGTTAAAAAATTATTAATCAAAATTTTTAATATATTTTCTATACTAATATGAAATATCAAGTTAACAGAAAAATTTTAACATAAACTTTCTTTTTTTTTAATTATTTATTTATTTGTTCTACATTGTTATACATGATAGCAGAATGCATTTTGATTCATATGAAGCCCAATTTTTTATGTCTCTGGTCTCAATAATTTCTACTGGTCATGTTACCATCACTTTCATTCTTCATAGAACTATTTTTTTTATTTTTCAGCACTGGGGAACTCAGGAGTGCTTTACTACTGAGCTATATCCCATACCCTTTTTAATTTTGAGACTGGGTCTAAGTTGTTGAGGCTGTGCTTGAACTTGTGATCCTCCTACCTCAGCCTCCCAAGTAGCTGGGATTACAAGCATGTGTACTATGGTAATGTTACCATACTATGGTTTCATGGAAATATTTTTTAGTGAACTGTTTTACTTTTCACCCTTGTGCCTATTAATAATGAAGTCCTGAAACAGCTGCACTGCTCAAAGTTTTTTGCTCATAGGTAACTTTATTTTGTTTTATTTTTTTGTTTCAGGTTTTGAGTCTCTACTTAATACTAAGGAATTAGTTGCTCTTCAAGATAACAATGGAGAAAAAATATCCAATGACCAGAAAATAGTGAGATTCAAAAGAAATGGTTCCTGCTCATCTATTTCACATGATAACCAGGACTTCCATGGTGTGGATGATTGGAACAAAAGCCATGAGAAAGGTTTAAGGTGAGTGCCCTTCATATAAGAGAAGGTAGTGCATCAGGAAACAATTTTGAGATTTAAGAAATATATTTTGGGGCTGGGATTGTGGCTCAGTGGCAGACAGAGTGCTTGCCTCCCACTTGTGAGGACTGGGTTCGATCCTCAGCATCACAAAAAAATGAATAAACGAAATAAAGATATTGCATGCTTTTATAACTAAAAAATATTTCTTAAAAAGAAACATATTTTCTACATAAACCTAGGTCAAAAATTATGCTTTCATAAGAATGAAATCATGGCATTTGCCAGTAAATGGATGAAGCTGGTGCAAAGAACAAAAGGCAAAGTGTTTTCTCTGATAGGTGGATGCTAATTTACAATAGGGGGGAATTGAGAAGAATAGAGGTACTTTGGATTAGACAGAGGGGAGTGAGGGGAAGGGAGGGGGTGTGGGAATAATAGTAGTATTAATTGGACATTATTATCCCATGTGCATATATGATTACATGACCAGTGTAACTCAACATCCTATATAACCAGAAGAATGAGAAATTATACTCCATTAATGTATGATGTATGAAAATGCATTCCAGTATCATGTATAACTAATGGAATACATGCAAATAAAAAATAAATTTAAAAAAAGAAATAAAGATTCAAATTCAAAATAAAAAAAAATTGTACTTTCACAAAGAATTTTGTCTAGATAGTTTTTCCTACAAATGATACTGAGATATTGAAGGTTTGACACATAGATTGGTTTGACAGATTTATCAGAAAAATCATACAAGTCAAAAGCTCAGTGACAATGTTGGCTGTGGAAGAGCCTTCTTGAGAACTTTTAGCTTATAAATTGATGGGGCAGAAAGCATACGTATTTACTGAAAATGGTAAATTTTTTTTACTAATAATCTGTCTTTTATTTTTAAAAGTCATGTGGTAGAAAACATCTGTGAATACAATGAAGAAAATCAATGTGGACAAATTTCAAATCTTATGCTCCAGAGAACTACTGAAGTCAAATCCTTTGAATGCTATGAGTGTGGAAAGTCCTTCCTGTTTCATTCATCACTTAAGAATCACAGCAGATCTCATGCTGGAAACAAACCCTATCAGTGTAAGGAATGTGGGAAAGCCTTCCATTTTCTTGGTGGTTTTAAGAAGCATATGAAAACTCCTACTGAAGAAAAACCATATGAATGTAAGGAATGTATAAAGGCCTTCAGTTGTTCCTCCCTGTTCAGAGCACATATGAAAATTCATAGTGAAAAGGCAAAGTATGAATGTAAGGAATGTGGGAAAACCTTCAGTAGTTCTTTCCACCTCACAGAACACAAAAGAATTCACAGTGGAGATAAGCCCTATGAATGTGAGGAATGTGGGAAGGCCTTTAGTTGTTCCTCATCACTCTCCAAACACAAAAGAATTCATAGTGGATATAAGCCATATGAATGTAAGGAATGTGGGAAGGCCTTTAGCTGTTCCTCTCATCTTATAAGACATATAAGAATTCACACAGGAGAGAAACCTTATGAATGTAAAGAGTGTGGGAAGGCCTTCAGTGAATCCTCAAATCTCAATGTACATTTGAGGACACACACCAGAGAGGAACCATATAAATGTAAGGAATGTGGGAAGGCCTTCAGTTGTCCCTCATCTTTTAAAGCACATGTGAGAGATCACAATGGTAAGGTGCAATATGAATGTAAGGAGTGTGGGAAGGCCTTTAGTCGTTCCTCATCCCTCACTGAACACCTAAGAACTCACAGTGGAGAAAAGCCTTATATGTGTGAGGAATGTGGGAAAGCCTTCATTAGTTCTTCCTATCTTACAGTACATAGAAGAACTCACACTGGAGAGAAACCTTATGAATGTAAGGAATGTGGGAAAGCCTTCATAAGTTCTTCCTATCTTACAGTACATAGAAGAACTCACACTGGAGAGAAACCTTATAAATGTAAAAAATGTGGGAAAGCCTTTATTTGTTTCTCAGCTCTTAATATCCACATGAGAACCCACACTGAGGGAAAACCCTATGAATGTAAGGAATGTGGGAAGGCATTTCGACATCCTTCATACCTTACTATACATGCAAGAATGCACACAGGAGAAAAACCCTTTGAATGTCTGGAGTGTGGAAGAGCTTTCAGTTCTCCCTCATCCTTTGGGAGACATGTGAGAAGCCATACTGGAGAGAAACATATGAATGTAAGGAATGTGGGAAAGCCTTTATTTGTCCAGCCTACTTTCAAAGACGTGAAAATTCACACAGGGGACAATATATAAATGTAAGGAGTAAGGGAATCTCTGCAAGACTTTTTCTGAACTAATGAAATTTGTGAAGTCTCATTTTGTGAAGTTTCATACTGTAGAGACTCTATAAATGTGAGAAAGTAGGAGATTATCACTCATTCTTTTGAAGAGTTGAGGACAACTTAGAGAAACCCTGTGTTTGTAAGCTATATGGTAAAGCCATTTGATTTTGAACATAACTTGTGCTGCAGTCTGGCTGGGCTGTGCAAAGTAGCGGGGGGGGGGGGGCACAAGCAACTTGTGACGTTTGAAACAGCGGGAGCCTCTTTATTCAGAACAGCACAGGTGTATATACCCAACTAAATACACACAGCTTATCTCAATTAACATCTAATTACAGCAATCAGTCATTAAGGAATCCTCATCATCTTAATAATTAGACACAGCTTAACTCAATTAACATCATCTAGATACAGCAGTCAGTCATTAAGGAATCCTCATCATCTTAATAGCTCGCTGGTGTTACTTGTCAAACCACTCCTGCCAAAGTGCCAGGCGCCTACTTGACTTGGCTGTGGCTCTCAACACTTGTAGAAGAAAATTCAAAATTTGAGCTAGAAGAGAAGATCAGTGCCTCATTAAAGTGGACTTCTAGAGGGTCATTGATTTCCAATGTTTTCTAATAGGAAGATTTAAGGTTATATGTTTCCCTTGTCAGCTTTTATGACATACTTTTGAGTATGAGATGAGTTTCTTTAGCTGAGATGTAAATGTTATTTCCATTACAAAATCTTTTGGACTCTTGGGAGGTTGTGTGTGTACGTGTGTGTATGCTTCTCCTCTGAGACAGGGTCTGGCTATGTTGTCCAGGCCTGTAACTCCTGGACTTCTGCCTTAGCCTCCTAAGTTTGGGAGTGCAGGCATATATCATTGAGTCTGGCTCAAGTGCATTTTTTTTTTTTTTTAATTGTTGTTTTAGTTTAAACTCACAGCATGGGAACCTTCTTCTTCTTTGTCTTTGTCTTTGCCTTCGCCTTCTTCTTCTTCTTCTTCATCTTTGCCTTCGTCGTCGTCTTCTTCGTCTGGATACTGAAAGTTGCCTACCCAATAATTCCCCCCTTCCCTTTAAACTAAGAGTACCAACTGTTTTGGGGAATACCAGTGTTTACTATCAAAAGCTTTTCATGTGTAATAAAAAGTTTTAGTAGAAATTAATTAGTACAAAGGCCTTGAAAGATTATAGTCTCCTCTGATTGCTGTTTTGTGTTTTATTCTTTATGTTTGTTCATGACTGGAATCTTTGTTAATTTAATTTTTTCAAGTTGTTGATGGGTCTTTATTTTATTTATTTATATGTGGTGCTGATAATCGAACCCAGTGTCTCATGCACGCTAGGTAAGCACTTGACTACTGAGCTACAACCCCAGCCCTCATGGCTGGAATTTTGATCTAATGTTTTAAGTTAATAAAGTGTGTTATATTAATTTGGATATAGCTGAGGACTACATTTCCCTTAATCACTTCTAATCCTAGGTGATAGTTTTCTAAAATAACTTTGCAATAAGTTTGAAAGGCTTTAGGGAAGGAGCTACAATTGCCTGCTTATTAGAACCACAATATAGGTAGACAGATGAGTAGGGACCTTGTTGGCCCCAGTTTTCAGCTCATTTTTCTGAGTATTGAACGCACTGATCCATACTTGCTCAAAACTGAATGTTAAGTGCTTGACATCAGTCTCCTCAGGGTCTGCACCTCCTCTAATGTCTCCATTAACTGCTGTATCCTGGCCAAACACAACTTAGATTTCTCTGGCAAGCTCTGGTGTTGCAATTTTGGCATTTTTCCTTCTCATTGCACGTCCTCTGGCACTTTCACTGCCCTGTTAGAGTTGACCAGTTTGCGGAAGGATTGTCATCATGCTCACAGTCCAGTCCCATCCTTCACTCTGCTTATGGGATTGGTGTCTCTACAAGCCTACCATGGTCCCAAAAGTGAGTAGAGCTGTGATTAATGAAGTTATCCTGACTGTAATTGAGGCAAGCCTCAGATAGGCGTCATCCTATTTTGGTAGAGGAGGCTTTATATTTGATACCTTCAGACAGGGAAGATTTTACTACCTTTATGTGAGAAGAGGAATGCTATGAGCTGTTTCAGGTACATTTTGCTACCTCCTCCCCTTTTTTAAAACATTGTATTTTAAGGAGTGGTGTTGTGGCTCAGTGGTAGAGCATTTGCCTAGCATGTATGAGGCACTGTGTTTGATTCTCAGCATGGCATATAAATAAATGAATAAAATAAAGGTCTATTAACAACTAAAAATATTTTAGAAAATTATATTTTATCTCTTAAAAGCATAACTATACCATTTCCCTTAATCACTTTTTACTGTTTATCAAGGTATACATACAATAATGTGCAAGCTGTGTACAGCTTGATGTAATTTCACATAGATGTACACATCCTGGTGGACACATTTCCAGGATTCCAGGAAGTTTTCTCAATAATCACTCCACAGAGGAAATTGGATTTTGACTCTTATTATGCTTGATTTGGTGTGCTTTTTCTCACTTTTCAAATAAATGTTAAAACTACAACATGTACTGTTACATGTTTGGCTTCTTTTACTCAACATAATGTCTGGTTTGTCAGTTGGTTGCTCTTATTTCTCTTGGTATAAGCTATATGTGGGGAATGCAATTACTGAATGATAGGGTAGACTTGAATTGTAGTTTTGGTAGATACTTTAGATTTTCAAAAATGTTGGTTCCACCAGTAAGTCCCCAACAGTGCATGTGAGTGTTGGCTATTCTGCATAGTGGGCCCACGCTTTCTAACTTTAGCTCTTCAGCAGAGTGTGTGGTGATATCTGTTTTTTGTTGTTGTTGAAATATGCATTTTCCTGATATTGAGTACTTTTTGGTGTGCTTATTGGTTATTTGGATATCTTTATTAGGCTACCTTTTGAAGCGTTTCACCCATTTTTATTTTCTTTTTTCTTTTGAAGTGTTTCCTTGCTGCTAAAAAGTCCTTGGCTATAACTAAGCTTCAATCTGGATCCTGAGGCTAAAAGATGTGCATTTGTCTGTCTCCATGTCTTGGCTGTGCATCCTTTTGCATTGTCTTTTCTTCCAGCTGGGATGTTTTCTTCACAGTAGGCTTCAGAAGTTCTGTGCTGCTTTCTTCCCAAGATAATGCTTCAGGGAGAAGAGTGACATCTTTTTTGAACAGTTCAAATATAATTATCAAAATGGAATCTGAGGAGGGGAGGGGGGGATAGTAGAGGATAGGAAAAGCAACAGAATACAACAGACACTAGTATGGCAGTATGTAAAAACGTGGATGTGTAACCGATGTGATTCTGCAATCTGTATATGGGGTAAAAATGGGAGTTTATAACCCACTTGAATCAAATATATGAAATATGATATGTCAAGAGCTATGTAATGTTTTGAACAACTAATAATAAAAAAATGAAAAAAAAAATGGAATCTGATTAATGGCTTATTTGTCCACCATGGCCAGGGGAATGTTAATACTCTGATTTGTTTAGGACCAGCTCCCAGTTTCTCATTGAGAAACTGAGGTTAGAATTTGTACCCCTAAATCATAGAGCCCTGGCAGTTATGATGCACATGGAGAGGAGAGAGAGGCAGCTGTGAGCAGGTGGGGGCTCAACATAGGGTCAATATTGTACCTTATGCTGACTTCGGGAAATACAAAGTCTAGGAACTTACCTAGTGTTTGTTCCTAGAAATCGTTTTAGAATGTCAGATGCCATATGTCTTTTAATTGCTAAAAATTGCTCTCAGTCTTTACAGAACATAAAAATAAGTAGAGATCTGAGTGTTCTTTATGAAGTATTTGCCTAGACCAAGATAATGAATATATTTTATGTTTTCTTCTAGACCCTTCATTGTTTGACTTCTTGTATTTAGGTTGGTGATCCATTTCAAGTATTTTTGTTTGTTTGTTTGTTTGATAGGGTGTGAGGTGGGATTCAGGTGTATGTGTACAGATTTATCCACTAGATCATGTTTTCCCTCTGCTTAGGTAGGCAATCTATGTCTTTTGGTTTGTTTGTCTTTTCTTGCAGCAGCACCATACTATCTTAATTTGTATTGCTTTGTAGTATTTTTGGAAATCTAGTAATAAATTCTAATTTTAGAATTTATTAATTTTTATAAAAATATTCAGGGTCTATTTTATAGAATAACCTAAGGAAAATTGACATCTTTACAGAATTGCATCTTTCAATTGATGAACATGATGCAACAATCCATTTACCTAGGTTGTCTTTAACTTTTCTGAAGGCATTTTGTAGTTTAATTGTAGAGGTCTTGAATGCCTTTGTTTAATTTATTTCTAGATACGTGGTGTGTTTTGCTTGGTAAATTTTTTTATTTTTAATTTTTGAATTAGTACATACCTTTACAATATCTTTTTCTTACATCAGCTTTATAGCTAGTGAGATAAATTTAACTCACTCAAATAATTCTCACCTGGTTTCTAAAACTTCTATTTATTTTTGTTGTCTTATTTAATGAATAGAGGTCATGAAAAATGAATATCTTTTCCTTGTTCCTGTATGAAAGAGTAGTCAACATCTCACCATTAAATATAATGCTACTTGTAAATTTTCATAGATAACTTTTATCAAATTAAGGGAATTCTGTTTTGTTCCTGGATTGTCAAATGTTTTTAAAAATCACAAATTGATATTGGATTATATCCAGTGCCTTTTCTGCATGTATCAGGGTCTTTAAAAAAATCCTTAATTCTGTTAACAAAATGAACTATACATTCTTTGATTTTCGGATGGTAAAACAACATGTATTACTGGAATAAATTAAATTTGTACATTTTGGTCTATTAGCCTTTTCATTTTGCTAGGTTCAACATGCTACTTTAAAAAATCATGTCTGTATTTATATTGGTGTTTGTTTTATGATTTATCAAAATATATATATGATTTTTTTTTCTTGGTTCTTGTTTTTGGTACTGGGGATTGAACCCAGGGAAACTCTACCACTGAGGCACATATCCAGCCCTTTTTATTTTGAGATGGGTCTTGGCTGATCAGGCTGGCCTTAAACTTTGAACTTACAATTCTTTCTCAGGCTCCCAATTTGCTGGAATTACAGGTGTGTGCCCCTGTGCCTGGCTTGCCCCTCTTCCCCCCCCCCCACCGCTTTTTCTTTATTTTATTCTTCTTTAACCTCCTGTTGGCCCAGTATTCTAGTTTTTTGCAAGAAAAAAAAATCTTTTGGAATCATGCCCCTGGTTATTGGAAATTATTGGACTTTGCCTCACCCCAGAAAACCAATAAAAGTTTCCACATCTTGCCTTGGTGAAACAGCCTAATTCCTCAATCAGTGCTGTCCACCTTTGGTGAAGCCCTAATTAAAGGCTTGCCTCTGAGTGCCCACAATATAGGACATGGTCTCATTCCTATTTCCAAGCCAGAAGATCCTATCTCCAATAACAAAGGCAGCCCCTTGTCCACCCAGGCTGGTATTTAACTGGATCATGCGCAGTTCTCACACTTCCAAAATTGAAGCTGGTGGTAATGAAGGTGGAAAAATTAGTTCATTCCATAGGTCTCTGGTGCTGAAGAAGTTCTAGAGCCTCATCTGTAAGTACTGGCCTCTCAATAGCTGTGCTGCCTGAGACTGGGTGACTGGTGGTAGAAATGGACCCCAAGACTGACACTAAGCTGGGTCACATTCGAATCTCACATCCAAAGGACAGATAAAATTTTGGGGATGCTGGTTCATGTCTAGAGGCTCCATCTGTGAGCTTGGGCCTACACAGGGGCCTTGGTCTCTAATCTGCTCAGTCTCACAGTTGCAGGCCTGGCACCAAGACAAAGACCCCTACTAGCTTTCATGACCTGCTCTCCTGTGGAAGTAGTCCTGCTCCTCCCTCAGCTGCCCACTCTTGGGGGAAGGGTGATGGAGAAGTTCTGTGCCCTGGCAAACACAGTTCCAGCAGCAAGCTCACTCAGCTAGTATTGGAGGTTGTGGGACTGTGCATGGCCATAGGTGGTGGTTTTGTTTTTGTTTTTTTTTTTGTTTTTTTTTTTTGTACTGGGGATTAAACTCAGGAACACTTAACCACTGAGCCAATCTCCAGCCTTTTTAATTTTTTTTTTTTTTTTTTAGTTGTAGATGGACACAATATCTATTTTTATGTGGTGCTGAGATTCAAACCCAGTGCCTCGCGCATGCAAGGCAACTGATCTACCACTGAACTACAACCCCAGTCCCCATCCGTTTTATTTTATTTAGAGACAGAGTCTTGGCTGAGTTGATGAGGATGCTTTGAACTCTCAAGCCTCCTGCCTCAGCCTTTCAAATTGCTGGTATTACAGGGTTTACATGCTGTGCCACCTGCCAGCATGGCAGCTGGTTTTACCCAGGCCTGGTAAAGGGTTTGAAATCTAAGGCCTAGACTTATTTCTTTCTCCCATGCCTAGGTGGAAAGTGTCTCTACATGCTGAGCTGCTTAGAGATGGAGGAGGATGGCAACTCTTTTTGTATCCTCTTCAAACATCTTTTTTTGTTTGTTTGTTTTTGTTCTAGTAACAGCAGGCACTATGGGTTTCCTTAACAACCCCTGCCTTCCTACTTGGGAAGGAACCCAGGCTAGGCAAATGCTCCACTAGTGAGCTAAATCCCCAGCCCTTTTTGGAAATTATTTATTTAGGTACTGAGGACTTAACTCAGGGGCACTCGACCAATGAGCCACATCCCCAGGCCTATTTTTGAATTTTACTTAGAGACAGGGTCTGGCTGAGTTGCTTAGGGCCTTGCCCTTGCTGAGGCTGGCTTTGAACTCGTGATCCTCCTGCCTAAGCCTCCTGAGCTGCTGGGATTACAGGTGTGCTCCAGGTTGGAAGTTTTTATCTTAAGACAGGGTGTTACTAAGTTGCCCAGACTGTTTTTGACCTTCTGGCCTCAGCCTACCAGGGGTGCATTGATTTCCTCAGCTCTTGCGAAGGTAGCTGAGAGTGCGCATAGCTCTTCAACTTGGTGTCACCGCCAGAGGATAGTCGCCATCATGCTCTGCTTTTCCACAGACCTGATTATTCTTTCCTTACCCTCAGCCCCTGCAAAACCCATCATTTTCCGAGAGCACCCAAGTGGGCCTCAATCCTGCTGGGATGTACCACCCCAAATCCCAGCCCCGGAGGCCCCGCCCCTTGCTTGGTGTGCTCGCCTCCCCCATGCAGGAACCGGAAGCGGAAGTAAGCCTCTACACCGGTGCCTTGGGGTCTCTCGGTCAGGTGGTTCCTCACAGGCACTTCTCCTTTACAAGGGGTTCCCTCAGTCGGTATCCCAGCCGTCCTGGGGCGCATCCCCGACTTGTAGCCCGGGCTTCCCTCAGCTGGGTGGCCCTAGACCCAGGTGGGCTCCTCCCGCCCCTGGCTCCCTGGTGACCCCAGCGGGGACTCAGGGCTGCTCCTGTGGCGGTGGCTGGCGCGTTTCCCCTAGGTGGGTGCTGGAGAGTCCTGAAGCGTTTCTGGTCTCCACCCGCGGCCTCTCTGCAGAGAGCGGAAGCCGGGCTGGCGTCAGGTTACGGACAGGAGCCTGGAGAGGGTCTCCGCGCAGTCCCTTTCTTTCTAGCGGGCTAAATTGTAGTCGCCCAGGCTCGTATGTTGAAATAGATTTGTCACTGTGTCATGACCAAGGGGATGAACCAGACAATCTTTTTACTGTTAATGCTGTGAATATTACTAACCAGTGCTTAAATGTCCTTGTTTGTTTTGTGGTGCTGGAGACCGAGCCAAGGGCCTCACCCATGCTCAGGGATGTTCTACCCCTGCGCTAGATCCCCAGCATTTTTTTTTTAACTTATTTTTAAATTTTGAGACTGGGTTCTCGGTGGCCAGGCTGGCCTGCAATTTGTGATCTTCCTGCTTCAGCCTTCCTAGTAGCTGGGTTTAGAGGTGTGCAGCACTGTGCTTGGCACTTCAGGAATTTTCTATTTGGTGCTTTATTTCCCATTGTTAGCACAAAAAGACTAGGCCAGATGCAAACTTCATGATCATTTCAGTATTTTTTTTTCAATTTAATATATGTTTTTTAGTTGTAGATGAACACAGTGTCTTATTTATTTTTATGTGGTGCTGAGGATTGAACCTAGTGCCTCACACATGGTGAGGCAAGCACTTGACCACTGAGCGCCTTCCCAGCTCTCATCAGCTTTATTTATTCAGGAATGGTATTATACCTTCAGTGGACTCACTGTCCTGGTGGAAATGAGCCACTGGCCAAAGTAGTTGGGCTTAAATAGGTCATACTGACAGGTGATTTAGTGAGCATGTCAGTTTGGGCACTCAGGAATTTTGAGTTTTGGGGTTGAGGGGTCTGTGGCCAGCACCTGGAGAGGATTCATCTTGAAAGAGATTAAAAGCTTCCCAGAGATTATCATTTTAGGTTTGATGAAACACTTTCTCCCCACTTGTGGCCAGCGTCTGAAAAGGATTTATCTTACAAGAGATGAAGGCTATCAATGTATGGCTTTCTTTTTCACTCCCTTTTCCCAGGCTGCACTATCTTGGGGTTTTTCATTTTCCATAACTAACACCCATGTCTGCATGTGGTAGGGTGAGCACAAATATTACCTAAGTAAAATGATATTAAGGAGTAGTTGGTGTGGGTATTAAGGAAAATGTCCTTGCCCAAGGCCAATGTTTTGGAAGAGGAGCTTAGAGATAGCACATTTGAATAAAGTCTTTTCTCTGACACTATAGTGCCCAACAGTGTTCTAGGTTAAATTCTCATAATAGGGAAAAAGAATTCTAATAACAACTAAATTGTAAGGCATGTGTCCAGAAATGTACTCAGGCATTTAGGCTTTGAAGACAAGTAGACTTGTCATACTCTGGCTTAGCAGTTTTGTAATAGTAATCCTCCTGCCTCAGCCTCCCAAGTAACTGGGGTTATAGGTGTGTACCACTGTGTCTGGCTTTCTAGCTGTTTTATGTATTTATTTAAAAGGAATATATGGCGTTCAATTGAATATGAACGTGATTACAAACGTCTCACATAAAAGAGGTTCCAGATTTACATACTTGGCTTCACAGATTAGATTTCATTCATCCATCCATTAACAGTTTTCATTAATCAGATATTCAAAGGTTCATATGATCTAGGCAGTGAGGAACAACAAATTCTGGTTCTTGCTATCACAATGTGTCTTGTGATGGGTATTGCCTAGCTGTTTTAGAACACAGGTTGGCCATCTGTTTCTTTATTGGATCATATAGGAAATATTTTAGGTTTTGAAGGCCAGAGAATTTCTATTGCAAGGAAATTCTCATTTTAGTACAAAAGCACTAAGGGAAAGCTTATAAAGAAATGTTTTGTTGTGTTCCAGTCAAACTGATGTACACAAATAGAGGACTGATTAGTTCATGCCTATTTTGCCAAATCCTGGCCTCGAATAAAGAAAATTTGCTACTTGTGCTGTGTAGGCTCATAGGCCTCTCAGGTTTGTGAGGGGGGAAAAACAGAAAAATTCCTTTTCCCTCAGTGTGTTTTTATTCATTAAAACCTCATCATGTGCCTGTAATGCCAACTACTTGGAAGACTGAGGAAGGAGGTTCTGAGTTTAAGGGCATAGGCAATTTAGGAAGACCCTGTCTCAAATTAAAATATGAAAAGGGCTGGGGATTTAGCTCAGGAGTAGAGTGCTTCTGGATTCAATCCCCAGCAAGGTGGAGAAGGAACAAACAAAAACTCATTTAATCTTGGGTTTCATGTTGTGCAGATTTGCTATGATGTAACTAAGGTAGCAGGTGAAATTGTTTCTGTTACCAGGAACTGATTGTATCATTGTGGAAATTATTTCATTT